AAAATACCATTCAAAAGTTGAAGAAAAGTCAAGTGTTAATTACTTGATTAAATAGCTCATCACGCATCTAATGAGAACTCAAGGATGGATGTTATCAAAAAAACATTATTTAGGCAACTCCCCCCTGTTTAACCGGTAGGCCCTACTCACGCCACCCTGCACATGGGGACATGTGTGAGCATACAGTTATTGATGATATCAGTGTATATACAGTATTTCAGCTAAGCTTGTGCTCAACTACTAGCTGGGATAGCTGTTGATAGCAAACGGTACTGATCAAAAATGTGATGTTGCTCAGTTCTAGAGGTCTACTGCCTGTATCTAATTGTGCTCACTCATCATGCTGTTTTCTGTGCAAGCTTATCCAGTAACATCAGCGTGTGTGAAAATCATGGAATCATAGGATCACAGAATGCTGAAGGTTGGCAGGGACCTCTCGAGCTCATCTAGTCCAACCCCCTGCACACGCAGGGTCACCTAGAGCACGTGGCACAGGACTGCGTCCAAGCGGGTTTGAAGATCTCCAGAGAAGGAGACTCCACAACCTCTCTGGGCAGCCTGTTCCAGGGCTCTGGCACCCTCACTGGGAAGAAATTTTTCCTTAAGTTCCTGTGGAACTTTTGGTGTTTCAGTTTCCGGCCGTTTCCTCTAGTTCTGTCGGTGGCCACCAGTGAAAAGAGGCCGGCCCCATCCTCCTCACTGCCTCCCTTGAGGTACTTCTAGACACTGCTCAGGTCCCCTCTCAGCCTTCTCTTCTCCAGCTGAACAGGTCCAGCTCCCTCAGCCTCTCCTCATAGGGCAGATGTTCCAGGCCCCTGATCATCTTAAAGAAAGCAAGTGTTATAATAGCATATATTGCATTATCGTTTTCCCTTGGGATACATTTATTCCCTTGGAATATACACAGTTTTAAACTATTATTTTGTATAGCGTCTTCCAGGAAGTAGGTTGTATATAACTCTTCCTTGATTTCTTGAGAATGTACAATTCTCATGATACAGCATACAAAAGCAACACTATACTTGATTTTAAGTAAGAAGGTGAACTCCAATGCATACAGCTCTGCCCTTTAAGAGTTCAGAATTTGACTTAGAACTTTCAAAGCTAAAAGGCTGAATTAAACTTAGGTTGCCATTTCTCAGTAATTTTTCCAGGCAGGCAAATATCATGGGACACTGCATGATATCAAACATCCCAAGAGTGAATGACTGGAACGAGGGGGAATAATGAATCAAATGTCACTCTCACAGTGTTTTTCAGCTCTTCTAAGTAAGAGCAAGCAAGAAAATAATTAATAATTCAATGTAGTTTGCTTTATAATGTTACATAATTTTAAAGCAAAGCAAATAAGTTAGCAAGTTTTTTGAAAATCAGTTTAAGTCTGTTTCATGTTTCAAGCTTTTTTGATGCATAGGGAATAGCTGTCAACAAATGAAAAGGTTGGGAACTTGTTTACATAAGATATTATACATATTTAATACAGTGTGCATTTCCTTGCCTTTTGATAGACAGAAAGACAATGAATGCTCTTTTATGTTAATAAAAGACCAGTCAGTTGAAACTTTGTCAAGTTTGCCATCCTCCTTTAATAAAGAGATATTCAGAAACATGTGGTTTAAATGAGATTTGTGGTTTTCCAGCACCTTTGAAAACAGTGTTGCATGCAACTTGCTCTAACAACTGCACTTAGGATCAGAGGTTCCCACTGTGCAGTGAGTGCAGTCCTATCTTCAGGAAGGATCAAACCCACATGTCTCTTTTGGCTTATTTCCAAAAATAAGCCATCAAAGCTGGGCATGATTTCTTAGAAAGTGGGTCTGGGGACCACTTGAAAATATGTATTTCTTATCCTTTTTTTTAGTTTTATTTGGTGACATTAGCTGGGCATGATTTCTTAGAAAGTGGGTTTGGGGATCGCTTGAAAATGTTTTTTAGTTTTACTTGGTGACATTGTTTATGCAGCTATTAACCCATATTACCAAAGACATTTCACCAGTGCATCTATTCAATTGATCACTCTTTTTACCATATACCCAGTGAAATTTCTGCTGAATTAAGTGGCCGTATTGCTGATTTGTGCAAGGCCGGAAACAATAATAAGTTCTAAAGAGTTAAATGAGAGACAGTTGACAATACTTGTGCTGATTGCTTGAAGTAGGTTGGCGCTGATTGCTGGAAGTAGGTTGACGTTCATGGTTTATTTGCATTTGAATTAATTGAGATTGGTGTCCAGCAGTGCTTTTCAGAGCAGGCTTCAGAAAGACTTTTTGTATAATAAAGTACTTGAGAATGTTAGTTGGAGAATGATGAAGCATACTTTAAATACTTCTTTTTCTGAGAGTGTTTTTTCTTCAGTTTTCTTCAAGTAAGGCTTATTATAATTCTGAAATATTTTTTACAACCGATTATGCATTCTTGTGTTAGAAGCTACTATAATTTTTTAATCAGCGTGCTGAAAACTTTCTGACACCGTTTTGAGTTTATTCGCGAAAGAGTTATTAATATGTGCAAAAAGGAATAAAATAATCTTAACACAGCTCATAGGATGACTCAGATGCAACGTAATACCTTACCAAAAGTGCTCTGTTAAATGATAGGAACTTCAGGATTATTGTTTCATGTAATTTTGCTTCTGTTAGGAACTGGAACATTTCAGTTGGTTTTTGCCTTAGAGATTATTTTAATTATTATTACATAACTTGTGTTCCTAAAGCTCCTGTAAATCATTATTTTAGTCACATGCGAGCCAGTCATGGAGTGATGAAACAAAAATGAGTAGAACATTTTTTTTCATTATGGTCGTGGAAAGTAAACTCCTTTTTAAAACACCTTGTGGATTATGAAATGCCTTGAAGTAGAGCTTTTTTTTCTTTTCTTTCTTTACAGATTTTATTTTATAAACTTTATTTAGAGGAAGCTTGTATAACCCTTACTGCGTATTGTTAATGGTGTAATAAAGTCTGTGTCAGCCTTAACAACTAGGAAGGAGGGGAAAAAGCTTCTGCATCATTATGCCAAAATCAATGGAAACTTTACTCATACACGAGGGCAGTCAAAAATAAAAATACAACCTTTGTTTCCATTGGAATGGGGAAGTAATATCACCAATTGTAGAGGTATATAAATAACCCTTCAGCATGACTACTGTATTTGGTGGCAGTGATAACATGAAACCTTCTTAAGGAAAGAACAACAGAAATGCTGGATGTATGCAAATGCTATGATATCTAAAAGGATTACTTTAGAGAAAAACACAAATAAAAGATCAAGTTAAAAAATAGAGAGTCATATGAATAAGGTTATTCACATGTAAATGCATTCCCACTTAGTCATTATCAGTTATATTTAGTGGGAACAGAGGAAAATTAATAAAAAAAAACTACTTTTAAAATAAAAAGTCAAGCTTGGAATGAATATTATCATAGACCATATTATAACATGGACTAATTCAGGCTAGAAGACACATCAGGAGGTCTCTGCCCCAGTTTCCTGCTCCAGGCAGGGTCAGCAATGAGGTCAGCCCAGGCTGCTCAGGGTTTATCCAGGCAGGACTTGGAAAGCTTCCAAGGACGCAGATGGCCTGGCCACTCCGTTCCGATGCTTCACTGTCCTCATGGCGAAAAAGCGAGTCCTTATTTCCAGCCTGAACCCAGTCCTTTCAGTCTATGGCCTTCCTCCCTCTTGTCCTTCATCACAGCGAAGGGCCCATCTCTGTCTTCTCTGTGTCTTCCTGTAGGTACCGAGGGGTTGCTTGTGGGTCCCGCAGCTCCAGCTGCTCTTTCTCCCACTTGAACCAGCCCCGTTTCCTCAACTTGGCTTCACAGGGCAAGTGCTCTTGTCCTTCAACATCATGGGGATCCTTTCCTGAACTCGCTCCAGGAGCTGAAACAAGTAGCTTGCAATGGGGAACCCAAAACAAGACGTGCTATTCTAGATGCCACCTAATGCATTGTCGCAAGTTGCTGGAGATGAGTGCCTACCAGTACTCAAAGAAGTTAAAATACATGTGTGACAGAATATGTATCAGCAATTGAAGAAAAGAACTAAATTCGATTAAAAAAAAAAAAGAAGAAATCCTGATGCTAGCAAGAAACTTCACCTATGAATGCCATAATGCCATATTTTCCATGCCAAAATTTCTCACAATGGGATTTTTGTTTTTCCCGGAAAACATACCACTAAGCCCTCTGATCAACCCCAGCATTAAAAAAAAAAATCCTATTTTGGCTATTGTATTTGGATGTACTTGTTCTCTGTACGAACTCTATATAAAAATGCACCAAGTAAAACTCTATATAATTTTTTATATAATAAAAAACTCTATATAGTTTTTTATCCTTTACATGGAAAAGTTTTTTTTAAAAAAAATCAAAGCTCTATTTAAGTTTGATTTTAACCAATTATCTTCAATGCAATCAAAATTATTGGTTTTGCATGAGTCAAACACATTTCCTACATAAACAAAAAAGACCAGCATCTGTTAGTGAAAGAAAAGCACCTGATGTATGTAGGTATCAATTGTCCCATGCTGCCTTCAAAAATGTCCACTTTTTTTGCTTTTCAGAGAAGGATAATTATTTTGGCTCATTTAATGTTTTTGTCACTTCGACATCACTCGCATTCTAACTGTGCCTACATTATGGCCTTCTAAGGGCTTGGTTTGTAGGATCTTAAATCAGCAAAAAATCTTTTCTCCAAAAGAACTACTGAAAAATAGGACAAGAGGAAATGGTCTCAAGTTGCATCAGGTTCATATTAGATATTAGGAAAAAATTCTCTATAGAGAAAGAGTTGAGCATTGGAACAGGCTGCCCAGGGAAGTGGTGGAGTCCCCATCCCCAGCAGTGTTCAGGGAATGTCTAGATGAGGCACTTGGGGACATGGTTTAGGGTGTTGAGGGCTTGCGGTTGGATTCGGTGATCTTGAAGGTCTTTTCCAGCCATACGATTCTATGAAAAAACAGAGGCCTTTAAAATATGTTTGGTTTGTAAAAGATCTAGGTGACTCTTCGGTTTTTAAATAAGTTTATAGATTGTAGAACCTGAATAATGAAATGATAGCCAAGTACCTTTTGTAAAGGTAGATTTTCTCAGTGTCATCATTCTCCTGGTCTGAGAGGGGAAGGCTCAGAAAGTGGTCAGAAAGATAATGCTGCCTCCAAACATTTGCTAGCTGATCTCTGCAGTATTCATAAGAGTGCAAAATTCACATTAAAATTAAATAGTTTATTTTAGCAGTGAATCCTCATTTCCTCCTCACTCTTGTTCAAGATAGGAACTGTCTGGCACCAGTTTGATTATTTGAAGGCTAAACATGTTTTGGATGTATTTCTAAGGTCTCTTAAGAAAAATGAACTTCAGCTACTATAGTGGAGTTTTAAAATATTAGTTTTAAGTTTGTTGGTCCTCCAGTATACATGTAACGCTTCTGCCCTCCATTTATATTGCCTTCCAGTTCTTAGATAATTCACCAATAATTAGTATAGTAGATGTGTCATTTTCACTTTGGAATATTACTATCATAGCTGTTATGATTTTTGCTCCAGACTTATTTTTGATAAAAAGCAATATTCTGTAAAAAGTGTTCTGCTGTTGCTGCATAAGGTGATTTAGTTATTTGTTTGGGACGCTGCCAGAAAGGAAGGAATAACATCACTCGTGAGATTTTTCTTTTATTATCTTAGTATTCTTTGACCTAGAAACAGTTTTTCAGGTAAATTTAAACCATGTTGCTTAGCTGTAATTGCATTTTAGTCTACTGTCTAATAACAGGCTTATTTTCTTCATTAAAACTTGGTGAATTATTGTCACAGAAGTATTTCAACAATATGCACATGTGTGTTCGTGTTGCATTCAACAGTGTGATTTGGATGCCAAAGGAAGGAAACTTTTCAAAGGGGTTGAGGGCTTGCCTTTGTATGCACATGTATTTTACACCACATGTTTTTCATACATAATGTTAATAAAACTATATTGAGGATTTGATTTATATTTCCAAAGTTTGGGAAATGAATATTGAAAACAACCCCTGCGCTTTCCATGCTTTCATAATTTCCTACATAGAAAAGCATCATATTAATATAAAGATATAAAATGCAGTTTGTGCTATAATTCAGAATTTGATGAAGGCGACGAGTTAAGAAGTGTTTTCATTTAGTTTCATATGCTACATCTGCCCCTTCATAAACTATGAGAAATAATATGGGTAACAATTTCGGTATTATTTTCTCTGCCTGCTTTTCTTGGGAGAGACAAAAAGGCCAAAATTGATGAGTTAGTCTTGAATTTTTAATAAAATGGGTACTTGTTTCTGGAGTTATTACATATGCAAGTGTTGAAAGAGGGTTGATAAATCTGATCATGAAGCTCTTAATGATTATAATGTAAGCTGGGCAATCTTGTCTCCTTGTTTTCTTCCAAAAAAGAAATTGAACAACAGACTGTATTCAAGCATAGAAATATCAGATTCTAAAAATCTGTGTTATTTACATATCAAATTTGGGTTCTTGCAAAAAGAGTTACAGTGCTTACTATATGTAGTGCTTAAAAATCACTGATAGGCTCTCTCTAAGTTTCTAGGTGAAAGCTCACTTTAAACTCCCAGTTGAGATTGTTAAGGGCTCTAGTTCTCATTTTGATTTTCAACATCAATTTTCTTATCACAACCTGCAGCAGAAGGAACATGTGACACACTGTTTTATGTCCTTTAGCATCCTTGAAAAACTCGGGTGCCTTTTAGAAATGACTTGGTAACATTTTGGTTTCTTCAGCATTTGATAACCATTTCCTAGTTGACCTGGATTTTTGATGTGACTTATGATAAGGTCTTTTGATTAACAAGTTTTGGGAAATCAGGAACAGGAAGAAGGAAAACCATTTCCTGAACTCACTCTTATCAGGGAGTAGTTAGGAACAAGCAGCTCCTTGGGGTATGGGTTTGTTTTGCATGTAGACTAGGTTTGTAAGCCAAAAATCATTATGAAATTTTCATTGCCTTTGACTAGTCTCTGAGGAATCAGTTCTGTCACAATTGTGTAGTTATTGCATCTCAGTTGTTTATGTGAGGTAGATGTAATATTTGCCCAACTTAGAACTTTTCTTATTATTTCTGGCATTTATATGCACCTCTATTTTTCTATTTTCTACCTTGCATTATTATTTTTTCCGTCTTTTGCTGGTCGTCTATTTCTCAGATGCCCTCTTCTGGATAACTCAGATCATGTTTTGGTGTTAACAATTCTGTGTATAATTATTTCTCTTGCTTTGACTACCTTAAACTTTGGCACAGTCAATTCCAAGACATCAAAAAGTGCTACAAAATAAAGTCCAACTCTTTTCAATCAACACTGAATGCAAAAGGTGAATGAGTAGACAATATGCAGTGAAGGTTAAGTTAATTTATGAAGATGATGATGAAAATAAAGCTTCAGAGTTGAAGTTTCCCAGTTGTGCCTAAGCAAAGTAAGTGTTTAGGCAACTGAGGTTTTTAATAAGCATAAGAGGGCAAAAATAATCTAGAGAAAACCTAGCTCAGTCAACTAGTTTTAGAATTTTATGCTACTTGAAATCTATCCTCCCTTCTCCCCTAAAAAAAGATGGTATTAGCAATATACAACATTTTGATATCTTTGAGTTTTCAAACATATCTCTCTCAAACAAGGATCCTTTAAGAAGAGATATCCATAAATTTCTAATTCAGTAAATTTCTCAAACAACATTCGCTCTCAAGTATATTTGCCGATAAAATTAGTGGAAATGGAGAATTAAGAATACAAGTTTTAACTCCTATTCCAGATGCTAGACTATTTTTTCTAGGAACTGGAAAGTAACAATATTCTTACTTGTTTTGGCTTCTGCATCTATATCCAGAAAAAGCCATATAGCTAGTTACAGAGTTTCCAAACCTGGGAAACTGGGGTTAAAGATAAGATTAGAAAATGAGGACAAAAATCAAGTTATTGTGCATAAAAATTAACAGAAACTTTTGCATGTGTTTTTTGTCATATGGTAAGGAAAAACAAAATTGCGGATGGAGAGCTTTTTTCTTTCACTCAATGTGAAGGGACAGGAACTACATTTAAAATAAAAATCCTGTGCAGAACACAGAAGCCTTTCACTAGCAAAGCTGCAAGGAAAAGTCTTTATTATAATAATCTTAAAACTAAAGGATGATTTGCCCCTTCAAAACAGGAGAAATAATGCTGAAGAGGTACCTATTTCCTTAAAAGCCAAAAAGGAAGGAAGTTCACAGTATCTACGCTTGTGATATTGCAGCTATTTTTTTCTCTGCCACTTTGAAATGGAAAATAAATTACAGAATTACTTGGGAGGTCGTGGTGAAAGTAGCGTTACTGTGTTCCTAGATTGATTGGAAACTGGTATGGTTACATTTACATTAAAATAGCAGGCTTACATGGGTGAAAAATAAAGAGATTAAATCAGACACATGCAGATGTGGTCAGCTGCAGGCTCTAAATTGTTAAAAGAGCTGTTCTGTACTGAAGATTATGTTGTAGTTTTAAAATTTGCTTCCTAGCATGAATGTTACTTCTGCTATAATGCAGGAAATTAGGAAATCAGAGTCTGTTGGCAACTCTTAACGACAGAGGAATATTAATGGTAAAAATGGTTATTGCTAAGGAAGGCTCAACTACTGGCTGCTCACAAAGGGCTGGTATGATGCACAGTGCCAGTCTTAAGTTTTTCTCTGTTCCCTAACAAAATTACAGGAGCTGGAATCCTGCATTACTAAGGTTGTTTATAGCTTGGAGCTAATGAAGCTGTGGAGCTTTTTCTCATGGTGAAAACTAAATTTTGTGGAAGAAGTCTGTAGGATAAAAATGTATTACTTCAGCCTAGGTAATGTCGAGTCCCTGAAGGAGAAGAGTCCTTTCAGTGCTGTGGGGTTCAGGGGCAGTTTCTAAGCACAAGAATATGAGATGGATGCCCATCAGCTGGGTTAATCAGCATTTCATCTTTTAAGTAGAGTGAATTTTTTAAAGTTTATTATGCTCAGTTTGACATTATAGGGGTAATAAAGCCCTTGAATCAGAGAGTAAGTGATATATTTTTAAGCTGTAGCTGAATAGATTAGTCCTTATTGGACTCAGATATTTATCAGAAAAAAAATAAAAAAGAAGATAAAAGTATCGGAATGTATTAATGCATCATTTTGCAGACAGATATTAAGTGGAATTAGCAGAATGACTCAGAAACAGTCTTAGTCTGTTTGAAATGAAGATGCAATTCCAATGGTGTCTGGAGATATTGAGAAAGCAGGTAGCACACATAACCTCCCCCTTCAAAAGAGACATAATTTTAAGATTTCTTGTCAGGAGTTCTAGTGGGATAATTTGTCCCTACAGTATATCAGTATATATTCAACTGGGTGATGATAACCTTATGGGAATGTTATTCTAGAAACACACTGCTGGAGAGCAAACTGTGTTATAGCTACATTTATCCTCCAAGGCATGTTTCTAATATCCCATTAAGGTAAAAAAGAAGACCAAAAGACAAGAAAAAAAAAGTTGGAAAGAGCTTGTTTGCTTAGCTCTGTACAAATTAATTCTTCTGGAAGTTTTATATCCCCTGTCTAAATTTGCTTCTCCCTTAGGCTTTTAGAGTAGCCAAAACCTGGGTAAAACACAGACCTGAATCCAACCTTTAACTGTTAACGGGTGATATTCAAAGAAGAGAAATATTTTTGCCCGTAAGGGATAGTGTGGGATTCTTTGAATTAATAGCCCTCTACTCTTTTTTTAGTACATATTGGACGCTATTGTATCTCATATTCTGTACTGTGCAGAACTGAGACTATAATATGACTATGACTATATGGAGCAGTATGTGGCCGTCTCTGCAGAGTAGAACTTATGTTGTCCGTCAGGGAAGGCTGGAGGTGTAGGCAGCTGCCCAAAGCTATGGATCAAGAACAACAAGAGCTTTCCTACCATTTCATTTCCAAAAGCGTGGAGTCTGGAAATTGCAAGCACTGACTGCAGTGCCAGCAGTGAGTGCTGGCAACCCTTTATTGAGGGAGAGGTGAGGGAATGTGAGCTGTATGTGCTGCTCCGAGGGGATATCTCTTCTCCTACATTAGTATCACCTCCCTTATCCCCTGATCTCCTGACCCTCTGGCAATAACAGGAGTCACAAGCCAGGTAGCTCCCTCTATTTTCACTGCCCCTTTTCATTCCTGGGCACTCTCTTCCTTTTTCCTCTGGAACTTTTTATTACCAAAGCAATGAGTCAGTTCCAGGCCTTCATCCTTGGAGAAGGCAAAGACTGATAAATCTTGACCTAGGTTTGCCGTACCACTATGATTCAAAATGATCTGTGTGCTGCCTTGCTCTGGAGGCCAGAAAATGCCATCCTCCCTCTTCATGTTTGCCTCATTCCTACAGTTTGCCTCATTCACTCAGGCAGATACTTAACGCTGATTAATACGAGGGAGAAAGGTGGATTTTTCCCTCTATCTGTAAGCAGAGTAGCGCTGCTTTTCCATCATGGGTCAAACATTATATGAGCATGATTCATTTTAAGACAAAAGAGTGTTTTTCTCTTATCTGAATAACCTCCATTGAGTCTCTTTTCTCCTCTGAGGAGACATGCAAGATCTGCAAGAATCTAAATGAAATAGTTCTCAGATTGTATCAGGCATTGCTGAACAAGCATGGCCACATTTTCTGTGTGCATATATAGACTCCTGCAAAATAGTTTTTAAAATGACTTCTTGTTTTGTGTCCTGTTTTCTATTTTATGTTCACTTTTGATTAAGCAATGACAGTTTGCAATAATCTGCATTGGATATCGAGAGTTTATAACTGCTGTACGGTAGCTTCCCAAACCTGAAAAATGCTGTACGAAAACTCAAGGAGCTTTAGATTCTGACCATGTAGAGATGCTTATCTGAGTCAGCAGTGAGGAAGCAATAAGATTCATCAATAAATGGCCTGGGTGCAGTTGAATATGCTGCTCTACCTGGACATTTGCCACCACTTATATGATGAGCATTGGTGGCCAATTGGGGGAACAAGCTGCAGTGCTCACCAGTCTCCTGGCTCCCTAGCTGGTGTCCTGTGCCTCAGAGGTGCCTTGGACAGTCCCAAAATAGGAATGGTGTCAAAGTAGAATGAAGAAAGCAGGATATACTTATGCCTTGGTGACGTGGGGAGGTTATGCTTGAGGCTGTTGTGTCAGGGGGATAAATTTATGTGAGGAGAGGAATGTGATCCTCTTGCACTGTATGCACAATACATAGTGGAGTCAATGCCGATTGTCAAAACCTAAGCCCTCTGAGCTTGGAATTCTTGTGGAAATGTGCTTTTTATGGTAAGAGACTATTCCTTATGTTTTATGGCACTATAGATGGCCAAATCGTACTTATGGTCAATTTTACAATATAATTTTTCTCTATTTCCACTGTGTAAATAGAACTGAAGAACTTGCTTTTTGACTTCTAAAAGAAAAAAAAAGATTAATATTTTAACAACTGTCTGTTGTTAAATATATGTTGTTGTATCTCCTGCAAAGGAGAAGGAGAGAGAAATTTTTTTCCTTTTGCAGTTCTCTAATTTTTGTTTTGTAATATCCTCATTCTGTTCTTCTAGAAATGACATTTTTTTAGCTATGACGTATCCAAAAACTTATTTTACAATCCACTTCTAGAAATGACATTTTTTTAGCTATCCAAAAACTTATTTTACAATCCGTTTTAGATACAAGCTCATCAGGGCATTTCAAAGTTTATGTCTTACTGTCAGCTTTCCAACATTCGCTTGGAAGGCTTCTGTCTAATAGATATATTAAGGCACTATAAAACCATACTCAATAAAACCCTTTAAAATGGAATAAGGCAATTAAAACATAGTAGTAGGGCATGGAGACTCTGATCCTAATGAATGGGATTCAGAGCATAATACATTATTTTATGAGAAATAACTCTGCAGAATGTAAAGGAGACTGTAGTATTTCAATAAAATATTGATATGTAGTATAATGAGGCATTAGATATCTATCATAGTAGAACATAAATGTTGAAGTCTGTTCTCAGATTTAAACAAGGTAAAAGTGAAAAAAGACAAAAGACGTCTTTTATTAGGTATGAGAGTCAATGGGGGTAGATAGGGCTTGGTATTTTTTTTCTCTTTAAAACCTCAGAATTATATGTGTTTGCTTCATATTATGCTTAGTGTGTTCATTTCATTTTACTTTGGAGAGAAGGTCCTTATTTTATTCATTTAGGCTTTAATGTCCAAATGAAAGAGCAAGTCTAGCAGACATCAGAGATTAATTTCAAACTGAGGTCAGAGATGGATCTTGAAGCTTTTTCCTATGGTATTCCCAAAGAACGCAGCTAAGCTGACAGGTTCTGGACACATCTTCAACTGATGGCTCTAAGACAGCTCTTGAATATATCACGCTGCTCTATTCGAGCCAGCTTGATGACTGACAGAACAAGTACAATCTTCCATGATTCCTTTCCGACTGTGCCGTATTCCGACTCATCAAGAAAGTTGACCTTTGTGGCAGTAGAGACAGAGACAAGTCACTGCAAAGCAGCAAGGGAGAGAAGGGAAAAAAACTCTGCGCCAGTTAAATAAAAAAAGACAAGATACCTGTAACTAGTTTAGCTATGAAAGTACACTATTGAATAGTTATGTATTTCTATAGATTCTATATCTAATCCATGATTAGATTCATATTTTCTAAAGGACAGTCAAGGACAGCTTTGGATTTCATTCATTTTAGCTAATTCAGTTTATTTCTGAGTTTTCTTCCTTGTGAAACATCATCACCACTAAGTCCTATAAATGGCATAAAATTCTGCAGCGAACATATGGATTTTACATCTATATCCAATTAGGTCAGGATTTCATCTACGGTTGACTTAATTACATTAATGAGGGCACGTGGGGAGACTGCTGTAGGGCAAACATATTTTTGGTTCAATCCTGCTAAGGACAGACTGCCCTTAGCTACAGAAAAGTCACGCTTTATTGGAACAGTGGAAATAATTGCTGGTTGTGTCATGGAGATGTAGCTGGATCCAAGGATCCTAACATCCCTGGGCATGTCCATCCTCTGCAGTTCGGTGATGACATATTTGCTATTAATCAGTCTCAAGAAACTCCCTGAGCTGGTGAACAGAACTTTTTCACTGGATAACATAGGCAGTGCTTGTCTCTATTGCCAAGAGCATCGCAACACTGTGAATTTCATAGAACTAGAAAAGTAAGTTCATAATACTAACCAGAGTACTGGTTACCAATAATAGTAACCAGAGTATTAGCAACAAGAATGATCTGTAAGGGTGGCTAATTTGTGTATTATAGCAAATACTGGAGAATCTTATTGTTTAATTTATCACCTTATCTGTTTAAAAAATGCTCTTCTAGCTTGAATGCCCAGTTTGCCTTCTCCAGGACTACATATTTGCTCAAAACAAAGCTTAGCTAATAAACTATGGAAGTGTCAACAGCTGTTCTTGTTTCTTTTCATTTATAATTAATATTTGCAATGAGTAATTCAATTCAGAAAATGAAATAAACTTGAAAAATAAAATATTTATCTATTCCAACATGCCCGGAGCACACAGTTACTCAGTGGGATGTCAGTTGTTACTTGAATCTTAGCCTATGAAATGAAGAAAAATCAAAAACTGAAAACAAATTTTGTAAAATACTGGCTGTAAAATAATACTCGACTGAGTTTTAAGGTGTTAGATTTTCAACTTCCAATTTAACAATATAAAGCAGTATAATTCCCAAGAGTTGAGTTTCCATCATCTGCCATTATGTTACATATTAATCCTTAAGGATGTTGAAGAACCAACTGTAACAAGCTTGCTTAAATAAGGGAGAAGGACACTACCTAGCTGACAGGATAACTTCCAGAAAGCAGCACTTATTATAAATGTAATACATAATATAAATAATATATAATAATGATATATATAAATATATATCATTGATGGTAAACAAACCATTTCCTGAGAGTGATCATTGAAGCCTTAGGGAAAAAACAATAGATCAACAGGCACAGTTCGATTAAAAAAAAAAAACCCTCCTATGAGACACGTGAAATACACTGCCTTTATTAAGGTCTGTTTCCTGTAATAGTTAAAGCAAGTGTGAGATTGCAATTGTGTGAAGACCAAGATGAGAAATGGTTAAGTTTTCTATTTCTCATTTCATTATATTTCGTTTAGATCTGGGTTGCCTACACTAAGCCAGCTAGTGTTGTCCTTTAAAAAATAAACATAAAATGATATTAAATCATAACATGAAATTAGCAGCAGAGACTTTAATAAAAGGGAGCCTCTTACTTTGTTCGGGGGCTATTTACCATCATGGGTCATACCCTATTCTAGCAGTAGTTGCTCTGCCCATGTGTACGTTGCTGTTCAACCCCTCCTGAGGTCTGTTCCAAGATGTTCCCCGAGTGTCTCAACTTTTTGGGCCCTTTCAGAGGTTGCCCGGGCTCACTCCCATCGCTGGGTTCTTGTTTCATGGCCATCAGCCTTCAGGCCCGAGCTAGGCTCTTCCAGAACGTTCTCAGTGCTCTGGTCTGGTAAGTGTCACCTTGAGCATAGCCTTGACACCGAATTGATGCCCGTGGGGTTTCATTGCAGAGCCATTTCACATGCTTCTGATGTTCATGCAAGTCCCAGGATAGTACAGGAGCGGGAAGGGAGAGGATCTGTATTCCGCCCTTGCTTGCACATCGCGCAGCTCGATTTGCAATTTAAACCAGGAAGAAGTGACGGAGAGATGGACAGGAGTCAGCAGAAGGCAGGATGCTCATCCAACGTGAAAAATGTTTTGCATGAGATTAAAAAATAATAATAAAAAAACCTTTTCTCACTTCTATATTCCAGCACATGGGGTGCCAGCAGCCTTCTTGCTGTTTGGAAGAGGCTGTGGTGGCCTCTTTTCGTGGCTGAGGGATGAGGGGCTGCAGCATCACCCAGGGCCCTGCGGACGCAGCAGGCCGGCACTGCTGCTCCGTTTCCCCATGACACTGCTGTGTTTCACTGCTCTAGGGGGTGAGGGACACCCCACAACCACCTTTGGGAGCGAGGATGCTTCTCTGGAGGCCCCTCAGAGGCTGGTGGTGCAGGGTGGACCGTGTGTGTGCACCGGCTCCGAGGCCGTTGTGACCCTGCAGCGTGATCAGCTCCCTGCACGTGGCCTTTGTGGCACATTGCCCATGCAGATAATGACTTGCATTCATGGAGAGGATCCCATGCAGAGATGACTTTGTAATAACCCCCACGCTGCTCCGGTTGCTTGGCCAACCCATGGGTAAGATCCCTTTCTTGTTGTGAAGCTTCTGCAGATGCACCCTGCGCTGTTGTGCAAAACAGACTCTCCCTCAAGGCAGACTAATAGGAGCAGACAAACCTTTGGCTAAAACTGCTGCTACTTCAAAATTAATGTCATACAATATTCTTCATTATTTGTATAGAAATTACTTTGCACATGGTTTTCTGCCATTAAACCATAACTGTAATTGAAAGCATATTTAAGAAACGATGGCTCTGTGTTGTTGTGTGACAGCTATTTGTATCCATCAAAATTTGCAATGAAGCGCTCAAAGTCACAGGCAATGAAGCATGGTTTATATTTATTATGGTAGCTGTATTGCAAACCTATTAATAACATTGAATATGATAATGGAACTTAAGCTCTTTGCCTGATCCATACAAATTAGACAATTATATATACATTTTTTTTTTTCAAATGGATAGTATGTATAAAGCAGAGGCTAACGTGTTAAGGGTAAACAGTAATTGCTATGTAGAAAATCACCTTTTAACTAAGGTTAATGTCTGGTATGTCCTGTATTAAAGATTGGACAAGGAACACAGTGATCTAGCTAGTAGTTAAAATTTCATTTATTTCTCTTTGTATATACATTAAGTAGTTTAAAACAGTTTATTTGTGTAGAATGGTTATATATTAAAACTAATTCTGTCTCTATTCTTACTGCCAAATATCCTGACTAGTAGCCTTTTAGTAGCACAGCACAATTGTATAATAGATGAGTAATTTCTGAAGCAATTTCTTCAAAAATGGAAAAAACATCTTAAGTATGTATTAATTTTTAAATAGAACATTCTTGAATATTTTCATCCACCATATAATCCCCGGTTAAGTCTGCTCTCGTTAATTACATCTTTTATATATTTTGTATATGTATACACTCTTCATTGCATTGGTACTGGCTGTGTGTAATGTTACTTTTAAATCTTCCCTGCTTATTAACATTAAGCATTGGGAGGTATAAAGTAATCATTAGTATATGTTTGCTTAACTCATTATAATAGCAACACCACTTCTATCCCATCAGTTCCAAATCAGATGTAGAACCAAGATCACTTTACCAATAAATGGCTAAGATTTAGAAAATGGCTCAGACATTCCTTTGAGAGGATGCACTCATCAGGGTGTTCTAGGATACATTAATCATGGTTATATATGCATAAGGACAGTGCAGTAACTGGAATTTAGTCCATCTTCCACAAAATACTGAAACATATACAAAGGTGAAAAGCATTGGCAAAAGAGAAGGGAAGTAAAGACATATTTTTTTTACTCAAGAAGCAAAAGGACACTACACTCAAGGCTGAGTAGCTCAGCAACAGGATAACTTACCTGTGCAGCTTCTGCAGCTTCTGTGAACATGACAACATCACATGTAGGTTTTTTTTTTTTTTTTTAATTTGATTGAAATTGTACACTGTTTTTGACACATGGCTTTTTTGGGTAATAAAAATAGATAAGCTATATTTTTCCGTCCAGCTTTGTTGTTGCTGGTGACTTCGTAGCTGAACGACAGACCTTTCTATTGGCATTAATGGCATTAATTTAAAGACAAATCAGGAGATGGGTATGATAAATATCTGTAATTTGTACATATTCATACTGCAGGTAACAACTTCCAGTATATATCACTTTAAGGTGCCTAGGAACAATTTGCTTATAGAAGAATGTACATTGATTGAACTTACCAGTGGTGAGTCCAGTTCAGAGAGGTCGGATATTCAGTTTATGCAAGACCATCTCCCTCAGATTTTCAATGTGCATTTGAATCCTATCGCAGTTATTAAAAATATCTGTGAGTTTGAGTACACTTTAAGGTTAAAGTACATTATTGCTAGAAAATATTGAAGACTACCTAGCATGACTTATCAGGATTGAAAACAAAAGCAACAGTTTAATATTTTAAAGTCAGTACCCTAAGCTAAATGAAGAGGTATTATGTAATTTTCTTTTATTTTGTCCAGTTCTAAACAAACAAAGTAGCAATTCAACTCAGCCCCTTGCAGCATAGACTATTTCTGAAACCGTTGGAAAGCTTCAAGGCTAAACATTGAGTCCCAGTTGCTCTGCTTGTGCTTGATTCCACGGTGCCAAATATATGGAATGACTGCATTTTTTAATTGAGAAAATATAAGTTATATTACCAAGAAAAATTTTCGTTGAGGAAATAAATGATTAAATAAAAGATAAAAGAATCTTCTGATGGATAAGAATTTTCTAAGAAGTTTCAAAAGTGAGTAAAATGAATAGAAATCATTGCTGAGAAGAAACGGCAAAGGCCGCATGGGAATGTAGCTGTTCCACATGGATCTCACTACTTTCCCCAGCAGATTCACACTCTACCTTCTGGGTGATGCCTCAGAAATGTCTTTAACCCAAGGAGAAGAAAAATATCTTTCTAATAGCACCTCTCTGAAATTGCCAAATGTAACTGAATTGCACTTGCCTAATTCTCATATTGTTTCTCTCAAAGCCGGCTCCTCCTGTGTCTTTTCTGGCTGTGCAGCTGCTTATTGCAGTTCCTTAGTGGTGAGTGCCCAGGGAGGCAGAAACCAAGAGTAATGCTTTATTCATCTTTAATTAAAAAAAGAATCCACCCTCCCCCTGAAACTTCAGATTCTTCAGAAATATCTAGAGAGACTGTATGGAAAATTAAAGTAGAACCTCCTTTTCCACTCTTCCAAATGGCTATAGTAGGAAAATGTGAAAGACTGCTGAGGAGCTCTCCATGAGCGACACTTCTTGAGCTCTCATACTTAAAATGTTTAAATTCATGTTAATAATGCTTTAAATCCTTCATTTTTCAGTAGTATTTCCTCTGAGACATAATTTTGATTATGATGTTCCATCAACCACTTTTTTGACCCCCAAATGCTTTAAGCCCACTTACCTTCAGTTCTTGTGAAAAATACATTATTTTATATAATATCCTCTGCATTTAATAAAAGCAGGCTAAGTGTTATTCATATGACACTCATATATATGAATGGCTTCAAGTCATTCATATATTTGACTGTCATGAATAGGTTACTAAAAAGGTTTCTGGTAGCTTAAAACTCTGTATATGTATATCCTGGTTTGAAACCAACAGAAAAATGAAAGTGGAAATTAAAGCAGCCCATCCTGTGACAGAGCAACTACGATGCAAATGTGTACTTAATGGGGAAAAAAAGATAACAGAAAAATTGTCAGCAAAAGAAATTAATAGGAAAAAGATTTTGCAAGCATTCAAGTACAAAACCTGTTAGATTTATTAAACATGTAAACAAGATTAGCCATACTAATGCAAAAATGATTTCATAAATACATCATTATGTCTGCCCCAAAAAGGCCTGATATAAGCAGCCTTCAGAAAGAAAAGGACATTTGATTTTTCATGAGATTTTTGTGATAATTTGGTAAGATAACTCTTACAAGGAATGCATCATTTTCATTTATTTATGAGACTAGGAAAAAATGATTTTTTTTCTTAAAAGACAAATAAACACTGCAGATATCACATATACTTCTGGAATTCCAGACAGAAGCTGTCCTAAAAGCTGAATTCTTCTTTAATTTACATTTTAAGTGTTCATCCAAGTAGGAGGCAATGTAGTCAGCAGACTGCGCATGTAATAATTTTCTCTTCTTTGGACAAGTACAAAGGAGCAGCTTTCTAAGGTCAAACAATTTTCAAAACCATAAGGCCTCTATTCTTTCCCAGCACATGAGGCTGAAATGTATGCAGTTGGGATGGGAGGGCCCTGGAATGTGGCTGCCCTTGCTCTCCTCTTTGAAATGACTGTTCTGCAACCCATTTTTCACAGTACAGAGAGATATTCCAAAAGTACACAGAAAGGGACAAAGGTTCAAGTGTGCCCAGCTGGCATTCGTATGCATAACTGTTAAACTAATTCTGACCCTGAAAGCGAGCAATAAGCTATTTCCAAAGAATATATTCAATAAACACCAATAGTGGGTGTTTGAGGTTACAAGCACATGTAGGTTTTTTTTTTTCTTGTTTTTTTTTTTTTTTTTTTTTTTTTGTTTTTTTTTTTCTTTTTTTTTGTGTAACAGACTATGTTTTCTATATCACTGTTACTGGAACAAGAGCACGGAGCAATGGGAAAAGTAGAGGAAAATGCCATTCTACGATATTCGCAGGGTTCTGAAATGATCTGGGTATTTCATGTCACATTGCAAGAGTTGTTTTAACAGCCCCATATTCAAAAGTCCCTTGGAACACCTGACTGGCATTTCTGGTTTGGTGGGACTACAAAAGTGGGAGCTGAAAAACCCCTTTTCTACAGTGTCCTTTTTTTATTATCACTTTAATATCTGGTTACTGGGCAGGTGTAAAAGAGCAAACTTTAGCTTGTTTACCTAAGATATGTCTCTGTAATAAAGCATGTTGTCTTTGCTTCAGGTCATTCACTACTTAATATACCCTCCAAGGAATCTCCTATGAGAGATACTGCTATTATGTATATTTGAAGAACTAGCGCACAAAAGAAATGTAACTTGAAGTGGGAGCTGTTGGAACAAGTAAGGCAGCAGTAACGAGAAGAAATCTTGAATTTCTTTAATAGGGAGACCAAAGATGAGATGGTTCATGATGGAACAAAAGATGGGTGCTGTGAAGGTAGCGTGGTAAATTAGCCTCAAATCTGAGGCTGAGTTAAAAGGCAATGGAAGCTGAAAAGGGTCCATGTAAGTAAGCTGTGACAAGAATGAAACAGGCAGAAACTGGGAATTGGCTTTGCAGAGGGTGGTGGACTGCCCCCAGAGAGGGCAGCTGGCTCAGGTAGGGTCCTCTTACTGGTGCTGGGAACAGAGGTAAGGCTGGGGTCCGTTTAATACAGTTGTTCCAGATGGGAACGACTAATTCCATGGGAATTAGTTCTCTGCAGCCTTCAGGTGAGCGTGAGGCTCCAGCTCCGAGAGGAACGATAGCAGTCAAAGTCACAGTTTGTATAATGGGATTGCCGGGAGCGTGGCTGTAAAACGATACAGGATAATAAGCGATTCCCTACTCGTTCACCTTTTATGCTCAGCTGAGTTCCTATAAAAAAGGAGATGATAGGCAAGACTTTAACATTCTGTACACACTCGGGCTCTTAGAACACCCTTCTGACTTTTTATACCTATTCGTGTATATCTTTGTTCTTACCAGAGATCTCTACATTGGCGGAATAAGGTAGCACCTGGGTACAAAGGGAAAAATTTAATACACACTCATGTATAAGCCAGGCTGTGCAGAAATTGAACATCTCTATCCCCCGTTCCAGAATTGAATAATACTGAACAGAATGACCTGCACATATCTCAGAGTGATGAAGAACAGTTTGCTGTGTTGTCTGTTTAACACGATAGTTTCAGTATAGTTGCAGGGTTTGCTATAGCAGACGTTGAACACCTACAATAGGCACAGACGCTCATAGGGAAATGAACATTTGTAGGCCCATCAGGAACCATATAGTGAGACTCTTGCACCATGTGCACCTATGGAATCTGTGAGTATGATTGTAATAAGCCTTCCACGGCTCTCATTTACCTTTATGGAATTATAATGTCCTTGTCTTCCCTCAAAAGCAACCATGATACAAACTCTCTGTGCTTTTCTCAGCATCCCTTGCAAGGATGATCAGTTGATTGATTCAAGAAATAAATATTCAAATTGAATAGTTAAATATTTATGTGGTAAATGGATGGTATCCTTCTGTTCCTTCCAAAGAATAGGAGGTTGTATGTATCAGCCAGTGAGGATGGCCCTGTCCTGTCTTTTTCTCATTCTTGATTCCTCATTCTTGATAAAACACTTCCAGTTTATCTATGGAGGCAGCCTATATTTTTTAAGCTTTACATCAGGATTAAAAGATTGGATGTAAATATTACTTCTTTCAGATTTCATTGCATCGTAATAGAGTTAGGTAGCTTTGTTTAAGGTGTGTGATTTTTCCCATTCTTATACAACTGTCAACAAGGTGCTCTTACTTATGCAAATAAGCATAGCTATTGAATCCCTTCTGCAATCACAGAAAGAGATAATAGGTTGTAATACTATGAAATATCTGTTGTTTCAAAGTTTCATCCTGGATGAAAAATCAAAAACACAAACAACCAAATTAAGGTTTTTCAACTAAACTACCTTTTAGTTTAGATCTGATTGCGGGTCAATCTGGAACAAGATTTAGGGAGTTTACTTAACAGGCTGGGAATATGCTTGTAATGCTGACACATACTATAAAGCTATAGAATTTCAGCACAGAATTTCAGTAGTGTGATGTAAAAAACTATCCTGAACATTGGCAGAAAATACAATGTTTTCCTTATATTTAAGACTTTCAATGTCAGTATGATAGTGACAATAATAATGCAACAAATACTTTATTTAATATCTTTCAGGATGTGAGCAGTGCATCTGAAGAGACTGTACTTGCAAACAAAAGAACTGATGAACATTTTTCATTAAAAAAAAATTGCTTCCTTTTTTTTTTCCTGTCAGATGTATTACTCTACTTTGATTATATTTATTTAAGTCCACCGAGTTGAACAGCAGTATCGTAAACTTTTACCATATGACTTGCACCAAAATTGACCAGTTTGTCATTGAACTATCACATTTTATTTTGACAGAACCAGACCTGTAAAGATGTTTATGTGGTGGTCCGCTGCTTTATTTCTTGGATGCCTTTTGTTGGGAACAGACGGGTGGCCAGCCAAGGAAGGATACGACTTCAAGCCCTATCAGCCTCTAGTAAGATTACGCCACAAGGTATTGACTATTCTCTGTTACTTTTGGCTCTTCTTGCATGATCAAGGGATAAGTTACTAGCCTCCTATTGCTTGTATTTATTGGAGTAATGATTAGAAATTAAAAATGATCCACTATCATTCATTCCTATCTCATTGTATAGGGAGAAGGTGCTTATAACAGAAGCCATTGAGAATTCTGCTTATATATAATTAAAATATCAGGCAATTAATCTATTATTGTTACTGTGGATGCTAAATATCAGAAATTTCAAGCAAATGAGAAATCAAAATTGTTTGTCCCCTAAGGAATATTGTTTAACTAGGACACCTTTCCTCAGATATACATGGTCCCTGGCATTAATACTGGGTTATATGTGGAAGTAACAGTACATTGCTGTTCCCTAATAATATTTGTAATATGATAACTCTCACATTGAAACAGGCTGTAGAAAGCACGACAATGTTAACACTGGTGGGTTTACGCACACACACATGAATGTGTGTATACAAACATATATATGTACATGCATTGAAGGCAGAGAGATTTTCCACTTATTCTTCATTCCTTATACTTAAGGAGAAAATATTCCTTAATCCATTGCTTTAATTTTTAATTTTGAAAATGCATTTGTGCCTGAGCTGATTTAAGAAAAAAGCAATGGTATTTGTGGTTTACCAACTACTGTTGGATTCTCTTTTATATGGGTCATAGAAACAATGGAATTAAGAATCCATCCCTCACTGGAAGAAAGAAAAAATAATTCCAGTATTTTCCTCATCAAAAGACTTTTGAAATTCAGAGCTTAATTGGGATCTTGTAAGGCCCCAGAACATCATGTCCATTCTGAGAGTCTCACTTCCTCCTCTTCTTCCCTTTGTGCAAATTAATTTCCCTTTCTTCCCCTGTCCCTCTTTCATTTTCTTGGCCATTCATTCATCTACATCTCTACAATGTTGATTTCATATGATGGAATTTGGCCTACGTTTTTTTTTTCTTCATTTTCAGAGGTATGTATTTTTTTTTGTGGTTTGCTAACTTTATGGTGGGATGTAACCCAGAGCTGCGTGGTCCCTCACATCCTGGTTTCCAAAGGAA